CAAACATGTATTTTGTTGCACATGGGTTAATTTTATGGTGGATTTATGCACTTTTGTTCCCTACCCAAAACCATTATACAGCAGGGAAGAGCCAGGATAAAATTTAAAAGTATTCCGACTGTGTTTGTCTCATGGAAAAAAGACATACATCGTAATGTACATGATTTTGATTTTGGAGTGAGATATTGCTTTTAAGACTGTAAAGTTAAATTTTAAACATTACTCCTCTTAAAAAACACATATTATTGTGATTACAATTATTATTATGAATGCTGAAAACTGCACTGCTTCATCCATGATAATCTCTCTGATTAAAAAGTGTACATTTGATTTTATTTTACACTCAGTGTTGATCAATTTAAAGCGGCTGTGTGTAAGAGTTTACATGTATTGATCACTTTTTTTATTGACAATATGTGTACAGAAACTCAAGAACTCAACGTTTTTGTCAGGAAAATCAAACGCATGTGACATTTACACACTCTCAAGAGAACAAATGCTTCATTTGAGCTTGTTTCCCTCCCTTTCAGCGGCGAATTCGGCCTTTGGCTGGACGGGGATCTTTACCACGGCAGGAATCACTCATGCAAAACCTTCGGGAATCCCATGCTCTCCATGAAGGAGGATTTCTTCGTGCAGGATATTGAGATCTGGTCGTTCGAGTAGCAGCTCATAAGGAGAAGGTACCTTTTTGGTTGTGAGTTGAAAAGAGGAACTGGACGTCGGGCAGATCCCAAACCTTACCGCGGCTCCCAGGAAGCCCCGAAACGGACGCTACTGTTACCGCGCTTGTCGTATGTTACTCCTGCATTTAATACAGAGCTCTTCTTCGTGCTGTTTAGTATGTGTGTGTTTTGTTCAAGCCGTGTGCAGCGTCAATAACGGAACAGGAGGATGTGACGAGAGACCCCGGCGTGAGCACTTTTTTAAACAATCGGCACGGATTTGGGCTGCCCGTGAACTGCCAATGTCCAGTTTTCACCTGCGCTGAAGCGCCAGGAGTCTGTTGAAGAGCTGGTGTTAGCCGATAGGACATCACTACTGCAATGGGGGAGGGGGGGGCGCAAAAAATACAACAGATAAAAGAAAAGCAAACGGCTGGAAACACATTCCCTTGCTCTCAGAGGAAGAATATGCATTTTTTGGGGGGTCAGTCTTCTACGAGAAGACATCGGTGGTTTCCTTCGAGGCAGAATATTCAAGTGTCGTGAAATTCGTAGTCTTTCTGTCGTCCACTATCATAGCACACACACACACACACCATGTCGAAGCACATAATCGGAAACCCCATAGTCGTAATGTTCTGTTCAGTGGGTTTTACGTGTGCGTGTGGCTAACATTGAGCCCCCTCCGCTTGGGACGGGGCCACTTTTACTGTTCGTAGGCAGAAATGTGTCGCAATAGATTTGTGGAATATGCAAATTCCTGTTCTGTGACCTCAAATAATCCAAACGGGGCACTTTTTTTTTTGTTGTTCTCCCCGTATCTCTTTCCGAGAGACCTTTTACGTCTTGACGGATCAACTGCTTTTCTGGGTATCAGAGACGTGGTTTAATTGTTTGTTTTCATGAATATAATGACAATTCTATATTTATGTATATGATTATATATATAAATGCATATATATAATACACAAATATATAAATATAATGATATATATATTGCTGTTAAGTGTGACAGTGATCTTTTTTTGTGCTGATATCTCAGCTGTTACTAAAATAATGTATATTACCCTGTAAATTAATGTTAAAATAGTAGATTTGTTCCTATATATATAAATATATAAACCAATATACAGTGTGTGGATTGGTGGGTTGCTTCTCGCACTTTATTAATCTAGTTTCAAGCCAGGTTCTCATTAGCAGTAGCAGTACAGTATATATTTTTGTTTATATCTGTCTTTTAGATAATAGAGTAAATGACTTGTTTATAAAGAGCTTGCTGCTACTGTGGAGAGGAAAAGATCTCAGCGCTCGAGCACAGGGTCAAATGTGACGGACTCCAGCAGGACAGTCTCTTCTTCTCACATGTCCTGTCCCAGCATTTTTATTTTTATTGTTTTTAGTTTTTCGGTCCGTTTTTTTCGGTGTCTAGATTGACTGTGCAACACAGCGAGAGGAGCGTGCGCGTCCTTTCAGAGTCGCAGATGAGAAGTGCAAACAAATCCTTCATCTACTTCACCGGAATATATTGTTACAGTGATGTACAAAAATCAATGAATACTAATAAATTGTTGTAACCTGGGACAGAATCAGGTCTCATGTCGCTTTTATTTCGTGTGTTGCTCTGATCTCTTCGCTGTTTGAATAGTTGACATTAGGGCTGAACAATATATCGTTTGAGCATCGATATCGCAATGTGTGTATCCGCAATAGTCATCGCAGGATTAGATTGTTTATTAAAGATATTCATTCATTTTCCCTTAATTTATCAGGGGTCACCACATCGAAATGAACCGCCAACTTATCCAGCATATGTTTTACATAGCGGATGCTTTTTCAGCTGCAACCCAGTACTGGGAAACACTCATTCACACCCGTAAACTATGGCCAATTTAGTTTATTTAAATCACCTATAGCGAATAGGACTGCGGGGTAAACCCGAGCACCCGGAGGAAATCTACGTGTACATGGGGAGAACATGCAAACTCCACACAGAAGTGCCAACTGACCCAGCTGAGGCTTGAACCAGCAACCTTCTTGCTGTGAGGCAACAGTGCTAACCACTGAGCCACCTTGTCACCACAAAAGAAGAAATGTTAGAAAAAAGGACATCCATGGTGTGAACATAAATGCTGTATACCAGGCATGTCCAGACTCGGTCCTGGAGGGCCGATGTCCTGCAAAGTTTAGTTCCAACCCCAATCAGACACACCGGGGCTAGCTAATCAAGCTCTAACTAGGCTTTCTAGAAACATCCTTGCAGGTGTGTTGAAGCAAGTTGGAGCTAAAATCTGGAGGACACCAGCCCTCCGGGATCGAGTTTGGACACCCCTGCTGTATACTATTGAAGTCAATGGCTGTTACTCCCATTAACGTTTTTCAGTATATCTTAGTTGGGTTCAACAAAGAAACTCAAACTGGTTTGAAACAATTAAGTGAAGGCTGAGTAAATGATGATGAGTAAAGTAGTTCATTCTGGGGTGAACTGTTGCTTTAAATAAACTCTTAAAAATTTCCCCATGGAAGGATGCGGCCTCTGATTTGGAATGCAAGCTGTGGATTAAAGGTAATAATGCTGAAAACAAGGCCCGGTTTCGATTGATTCTTTACCTCAATGGGCCATCAGAAGCCACAAGTTTTGCAAGTGACATTAATAATAATAATAATAATAATAATGCATTTTATTTAAAGGTGCCTTTCATGAGACTCAAGGTCACCGTACAGGACAGCTAGAACAATCAGTTCAAGTAAAAACACAATAAAAATAATAAATGGGGAAGTATTTGTTCAATTGTTTGGTTACAAATAAGATAAAAGAAATATCTTTTAAACTAATTCATAAATTCTACCCGATCAAACATTTTCTCGGTAAATTTAATAAGGATATTGATATAAATTGCTCTTTTTGTTCTTTGCATTTGGAAACTGTACCCCACATCTTTAAAAGAAAATGTACTCTTTAATTTTAATTTGCAGTTTCAAAAAGTATTTTTTAGATATTCAGATTATCATTATTAAAATAATGAAGTTTTTGTTATTAATCTATTTATTTGTTTCTTAATTTATTTTTATGTTTACGTTTTATAATGAACTGAAAAATATAGAAGTCAATGGTTGCATGTTTTCAGCTTTCTTCAAAATGTCTCGTGTTCAACATAAGGAAACTCGCATAGCTTTTTGGAACTACTTGAGGGAGCAGAAAGTTTCCATAACTAATGCTACCCGTTTAAGTTTCTTATCTTACAAATCAGTAAATCTCTGGCCGTTCATATCTTTGTTTACATCTATAGTCCGCTTCCGGTCGAGTAAATAAATGAAGCTTCATTCACGCTTATGAGAGAGTCTGGATGGTGAGCAGGTGTCCAGATTACTGTGACAGCAGGGCCTGTAATAAACCCACACACACCTGTGAGAGTGTAAATGCAGCTGCCTTGGGCTCATTTACAACACTAAATATATCGCGAACTTTATATCCCTCATAGCTGATATCTAGACTCATTTAATATATAATTTAGTTTGGTTTGTTTTGTCAAAATGACGTTATTTTTGTTCTGCTGGTGTTAGATCGCCACCTGGCGGACATATTGTGTACATTGCTCAAACGTGACTAGCTTTAGTCAGCAAACGTTCGTCGATCAAACTATGATTTAAAGATGACTTTAAGTCTTTACAATGTGTTGTAATGTTTCAAACTTTATTTCAATCCATATGTAAGACCAAATATATATATATATATATATATACAAAAAGACAAATTGTATGAAAATAGTTCATTGAATGGCTCCACACAGACAGAAATGCATTCAAATACAAATGAATTCATTGAATCGCAAGCTCATGGTTGAATACGTGAAACACAACCTAATTAAATCTTCAAATTAAAGCTCTTGTCTGCTTCCTTTTAGTGATGGCAACAAAATTTAACATAATTAAAAGAGAATAACGGAAGGCCCCATGTGAAAATCATGACAAAAGTCTGAAACCGTAATAAAGATGTGGGAAACGCACTACAAATGAGATGCAGTCCCAATGATTGTCCTTAGTCTCTTGAAAACAATCTACATAAATTTAACAGTCCAGCAGTCTAGTGGTTTGAATCATTCTGAACTGATGCAATAACTTAGTTTGTACTCAGCAATGCATTAAAAACATGCATTTCTGGCCCAATTACACAGTGAAATGTCACGCTAATGAAGAAATAATTGTAACACAATTTGATGGCTGACTTTAAAAATAAAGCAAAGTATTTTCCTCCTTTAATAGCAGGGTTTAAGGCAGATTCTTTTACATCATTAGTACGAAAACAGACAGATTAATACAAAACACTGAAGAATTCCCTTATCTGAGACTCGCTCCTTTTATTGTGTTTTATCTGACATGAATCCCTTTTTTCCCCTCAAAGTAAATGAGGCACTTGGATGTAAGCACTAAAGGCAGATGTGTCGCAGCAAATTTAAAATCAGTCTCTTTTTCTAGTAAACCAGGTACTGTAACTCCGAGTATATGAGAGGAAACATGACGGCACAGGCTCTGTACAGGATGGCTGCGCTGTTGACCAGTGCTCGTGGTATTGTGAGCCAGGATTCAGACTTGAAGCTGAAGTATATAGCGTACAGGGCCACGGCAAAAAAGTGTCCAATCAGAGTCAAGGGTTTTGGCGACAACCTAAAAAGACAGAAAGAGATTAGAGTGGCAAAGTCCCTGAAATCTGATTTAAAGACCAAACTAGTGTTTCAAGAGTTCACACTTAGTTGATGATTGATAATAAACCTTGTTTGACATGCTGTACCAGGAGAGAGAGCCTGAGCTTATGAGATCCTTCCTTGAGCCCTGGGCTCCCTCCCGTTAGCAGGGCAAGAGGGGAGTTTGAGCCTAGGTAGGTCTCAATGAACTCCCCTGACTTGTTAATGGCTAATGACAGGTTGTAGGGATTCAGATAGCTATACTGCTCACTGAGGGCTATAGTTCCAATTTGGTATGGTCAAATTACTTATATTGTGTATTTTTAGACTGTGGGAGGAAACCATGCAAACTCCGCACAGAAATGTCCACAGGTCCAGTAAGGACTTTTAACCAGTGACATTCTTGCTATGAGGCAAGAGTGCTGATCACTAGGCTGCAGTGTCGCCTTATCAAGAAAAAGGGAGGAGGAATAGGGGTGGAAGCGGGGAGTCTTCTAAACGAAGATGACTGAGGTATGAAACTCTGGTTATTTATGGTGACTAAGGAATCGTCTGAATTGTAAATCATGTGTTAGCTAATGCGGGATCAGCTGTGGACAATCATAAGCATGTGATCCTCTCGATATTAGTTTGTAAATAGACTTCACTTATTTTGTTATGTTTGTCAACACTCACACAGACAGGAGCCCGATTGGTCCATTGATGCATTCTCCACCGAGCTTGAAATAGTGAAAGCATGCTTTTCGTAGCTGATGCAGTGATTCTGGAAGTAAGCAGAAGGTGTAGATGTAATGAGATGTGGTAGTCAAACTGAAATAAATATTTGAGAGTTTTGTTTCTTACTGTCAGTCGCAGCAAACAGCTCGTATAACGCTTGAGCCAAAACGTTCACCACAAACGAGTGAGAGGATTTCCGCTCCCAGTGGAATTTCTTCTTCGCCTGACAACAAAAAAAAAAAACACTGTTTTCATTGCATTTCATGAACATTTCTATTATCAAACTAAGATTTGGGCTTCTTTTTACGAAGTATAGGACAATATAATCTCAGGGCTCTGTTGCACAAAGCTAATTTGGGTATTTACCCAGGTAAAGTCCTGTATAGTTTTGAGTGGGTTGTGTCACCAAGGAAACTTGCACTAGATGGCAAACTTACTCAGAAATGTTTTGTTTTTTTTCTGGGTTAGAGATTTGTACCCACTTCAAATGTTGACTAACTCCTATATACACTACTTGACAAAGTCTTGTTCCCTATCCAAGTTTTAGGTACAACAAATAATAACTTGACTTCTAGTTGATCATTTGGTATCAGAAGTGGCTTATAAGAAAGGCAAAGGCCTCTAGATTAGGCTTATTTTACCAAATTAAAATAGGATCATGCCTTGATTTTTTTATGATTTAATTAGGACAGTAAGATCTGACTTAGCTTAGACAAAAGTCGTGTCCCTGAACAGAAATACAGTATCTCAGATAACTTATTAATAAAGTCATCTGAAAGAGAAAGCTTTCTTGCTGGACTCTGAGAGTTTATCAAGATTCTTTGGATTCATCTTTAATGCCTCCTCCTTCATCATAGCCCAGACATGCTTAATAATGTTTATGTCTGGTGTCTGGGCTGGCCAATTCTGGAGCACCTTGACCTTCTTTGCTTTCAGGAACTTTGATGTGGAGGCTGAAGTATGAGAAGGAGCGCTGTCCTGCTGAAGAATTTGCCCTCTCCTGTGGTTTGTAATGTAATGGGCTGCACAAATGTCTTGATACCTCAGGCTGTTGATGTTGCCATTTACTCTGCAGATCAATCGTACGCCCACATACTGAATGTAACCCCAAACCATGATTTCGCCTTCACCAAACTTGACTGATTTCAGTGAGAATATTGGGTTTATGCACTTTCCAGTAGATCTTCTGCAGTGTTTGTGATGATTGGGATGCAGTTCAACAGATGATTCATCTGACAAATCTACCTTCTGCCACTTTTCCAAATGATCAACTAAAAGTCAAGTTATTATTTGTTGCTCTTACAGCTGGGATAGACGACAAGACTTTTAAATTATATATTTAAATAGTTTTGAATTGTCAATTAATATAGAATTAACATTCAAGACTTACATTTAACTATTTACATTTGCTTTTATATGCAATCTCTTTAAATTAGTCTTTTTAGCTTGTTTGTGAGCAATACAGTATACAATACCTACAAAACTAAATGCAATTTATGACTTGCATTTATAAAATAACTGTTAATTTTAGTTGCCTTCTCAAACTTTTAATCCATCAGCAGTGTTTATATCTGCCTTGTAAATGCATTTTAATTCATTATAATTTTTTTTAATGTTCTCAATTGTCAACAGAAGTAAACTGCTCACTCTTCCTTGCAAAAAATGAGTCTAACTGATGCTCTCATGTGTCGTGTGATTGGCTGTTTGCTGCATGTGACCCAAAGTTAACCATAAACCTTAAATTAAACCCCAAGTTAGCAGAGAATTATTGTATCGAGCATTGTAAAACCAGTTAACATGATCTTAAGCAGCTGTTCACTTTTACTACAGCAGTTTCTCCGTCAGATGACCAGGTTACCTGGAGCAAAGCTGTATTGTCATAGAGGTCAGGAATGTTCTTGAGCAGGTCTCTCCAGATGGAGACGTCATTCAGCACAACACTCATGCCTCCGCCGGTCAGAGGATGACGCATGTTATACGCATCTCCTAACAGCAGAACCCCTGAAGGTGGACAGTAACATTCACAGTAAGTTTTACATACTTTATTAAACGATTTTTTTTTATTTTGTAAAGGCCAAAATGTAGATTAAAGATTTCAATTTTACATTTAAATTTTATGTTATTTTAAATTTACTCAGTATATTTTGATTATACTTGAAAACCGTTACCAGTTATTGTCCCTGACAATTCCTGAAGTAAGGTAATTAATTTGTGTTTTTGAGTTCTTTTAAATTGCATAATAAACTTTTTGTTTTTGCTTTGACTACTTTATTGATGACAAGTTTACAAAAATGGCATCTATTGACCTTTTAAATAGTTAGAAACAGTATGTTGTCTGTATTGGTCATGTTAAATTTATTAAAATAATGTAGTAATGTTAGTGCGTCGACTTATGGTGCTGTAGCGCTTCAGGGAGTCCCGAGTTCAAATCCCGGCTCGAGGACATTTCCCGTCCCTAACCCCTCTCTCTCCCACTTCACTTCCTGTCTGAAATACTGTCCTATCCACTTAATAAAAGGCAAAAAGGCTAAAAAAAATCTTTAAAAAATATATATATAATAATGTAGTAATGAGCTGTAACATTCTGTTATTATATAGATTGTTCATTCATTCATTCATTCATCCCTTTATTCATTTTCTTTTCGTCTTAGTCCCTTTATTAATCAGGGGTCGCCACAGCGGAATGAACTTATCCAGCATGTGTTTTACACAGTGGATGCCATTCCAGCCACAACCCAGCACCCATATACCCAGCAACCTCCTTGCTATGAGGCAACAGCACTACCCACTGCGCCACCGTGTCGCCCACTATATAGATTGTTTTTTCTATAAATATTGTTTCTTGTATAATATTTATCTAATGTCTCAAACTACTTAAAATGCCAATAACATTTTCAACATCAAAAGTTCAAAGCAAAAAAAATTGGGCAAGTAACCAATATTTTTTAAAGTGTAGGCTAGGGCTGCGTAATATTGGGAATTTATTGTTATTATAATAACACTATATCCAATATCACAGAAAAGTTGATAAATTACATTTATTTTATGTGCAAAGCATTTGTGTATTGCATGCATTAGTTGATTATCCATGACTAGGCCCACACGGAATCTGTGCCCACAGAAATCCGCAGATTTTAGCCCATTATGTCTATTTACTTATATTTAATGTGTGTAAATTTAAATTTAATCAGTTTTTAAATTAATTTCAGTAATATTATTGACTAAAATTACAATTTTCATATAATTTATTTGCAATACAGTTTCTAAAGTCATATTTTCTATCTTTTAGTAAATATATAAGAGACTTGCTTTGTTTACCATATAAGTGGATCTAACTGGATTTGCAATGTAAACATCAAATACTAGTCAAAAGTTTTCTAGTTACGAGACTCTGAAAATAATTCCACATAAATCCGCAGATTTTTACAAAATTCTCGGCGGAAATAGTAATAAATGTCCGCAGATTCTGTCTGGCCCTATCTATGACTATGACTAATAAGATGAGACTTTGCTACTTTTTCCCCGCCTCCCGATCAGGTGCTCTTCTGTTATTGGCTAAAGCAGCCCAAAGGTGAACCTAAAGCTAAAAATAAATCCTAATGGGCAAAAGTAGAGACAAGAGAGAAAAATCACAACAACCAATAAAAATCCGAATATCTAAGAAGGTTTTCACTCATATATAGTTTTGTAAAGCCTAAATGTTTGCTCTTTTACATGTTTTTTTTATCCCATATTAGATAAATTGGATCACACAAATATATAGTAAATTGTATTTTTCTATGATTATTACATTTTAAAAAAACTAATTAAAATTGCATTTCTCATGAAATAATTTTATCACAATACTAAACAGCATTGCATACAGTCAAGCCTGAAATTATTCATACCCCTGACTCTTTACTTAGTTACAGGCCCGTGCAGAGACCTTCCAAGGGGCATGTGCAGGATACAAATTTACAGGCTTCTCCCAAAAGATAATAAGATGATTTAAGAGGCAAGAGACATTATTGTGGAAAAAAATATATTTCTCAGCTTTTATTTACACTTGAATTTGCCAGGGGTGACGAGTGGCAGCTTTTAAAAAAAACTTTCCTACAGTTTACATGGAAGGATTGACATTTATTTTGATAAATTGGGGAATATTCTCAATTTCTGTGATCCACAATGCTAGCAAACATGTAACGAGACAAAATATAATTATGGCTATGATATCAATAACCCTCTTCTGTTTTGGTTTATTTATTCAATTTATGTGACGTTATTTATTTATTGTATTTATTTATTTATTTTGTATTGTTCTGTTTCTATGTTAATGCTCTGTATTTTATGTCTATCTGCATTATTTGCAAATAAGAAAATCAATAAAAAGTTCAAATCATTAAAAAAAATTAATTTTCCAGAGACATGAATAATTTCAGGCTTGACTGTATATTCCCAGTATCACACAGCCCTAGTATAGACAAACAGAGAGGTTGATATTTCCATGGTTTACCTTGTTTATTGACTGGTGCGGGTGGCAGAAAGCTGGCAGGCATCGTTCTCAACCGGTCGTTCTGCAGTGCCAGCATGAACGGCTCCTTTAAGTGCTCTGTGTTACAAAACAGACATCTATTTGTAAGCATCTCTTACTGTCTAAATGTTTTCAGTGCTCTAAACCGAAACTGCACCTGGTAGCTGTGGGTAGATTTTGTCAGTCATGTACTGCATGAGGTCCCGTGGCATCTCTCCTCTGATGTCCACCAGAACACGAGTTTCATTGGAGGAGATCTGGTAGATCAGCACTGGACTGGGATCAGCTAGAACTAGCTCTGCATGGTGGGCTTTGAACTGAGGAGAGTCCTGGAACAGAAGGTAACACAATAACCCCATTACATTCATTTTTCACATAAGGATTTTTTTGGTGTATTTATTAAAGCTTTATCTGCCATAAATTAAAGCAATCGGCTACAACATTGTAAATTTGAGATACATCAGATACTTTAATGTCTCTACATATGGACAATACAGTCATGGGGTGGAAACTCAGAGACAATAGGGATTTATTTAATTCTGTTTAAAAAAAAACTGTATGAATGTTTTGTATCAATGCAAGTGACTTTATCCGTCATATTTAATATCATTTGAAATGTCTTGGTGCGACTGGTTTAATGGTCTCATTCCCCTCAGAAAGAAGTAGATGGTTTATAATAGATTATGTAATAGATTTAATAACTTCAATTGCCTTTTAACCCAGTGCTAAGGGCGTGCCTCTGTCTGGGGGGGTTTATGCATTGCTATGTGTTTCCCACAGGCAGAAACTCTTCATAACATTCCACTCTTAGCAAATTTGTATTGTTGTTTCACACACCCTTCCTTGGAAGAGATTCTTTCTGGGTCTGACTACTGAAGGACTATTAAAGTGTCAAGAAGTTCAGGGTGTGATTATGTAGCTCTAAATATTATTGAAATTCAGGTATACATCTTTGAAAATTAAATGTCTTATATTGATTGTTTATGAGTTGACTGAATAATTAGCATAATACACTGTTACCTGAGTAACAAATTGTTATCTTTGAATGTATTTTTGATAATAGGCGTAGCTATTTATTCTAATAGATTTTGTTGTCACATTCTGTGTGTGAGATGGAGCATTTGGTACATTAACTGTATTTTTAGAGATCCAACTAAAGCCCCGGTCATATCACACGAATCTGTCACAATTTCACCACATTTTCTTTGACGTAGGGTGTTGTGGGGATTCGTAAACGACAACTGGGCGTCGTGACACAAGATTCAATCGTTTCTTCTTGTGTAATGTGGCATAGTTAACGATAACCGAAACCATGTCTCCGATGCCTCAACACCACCACAGAAAGTCTAGCTTGTTTAATTTTTTTCTCGTTCTTTATGACGAGTTCTGTCACGTGGGTGACGCTGTGCAATAGGAGCACATCATTTCTCGGTTATCTCAGCAGGTGCTGTCATAATGCAAAAAAAATAAAAAATAGGCTTATAAAAATTTACTCATGGGTGAGTTTCGAGTGGACAACATCAGTCATTTGTTATGCCAACTTTAACTAACTTTTCTAAAATATTAAAGTGTTTTAAGCTATTTTATTTGACAGACTGGCACAAATATGCAGACATCTCCGTTCTCACAATGAGTTTCTGAGTTCTCTCATCCTTCCAGCAGTCTATTCTTCCAAGGTAATCTGGGAACATGTTCAGTGCTGCAAATACATTGTAAAAGCATTTCCTGCTTTTTCAGACTTGTGATTAACAGTGAAAACAGTTTAATATAGGCTTCTCTGAAACTGGGAATATTTGACTTTAATTTTATTAAGGCTAGATCATTGTTTTATTTAACAAAACCAACACAATCTCATGGCAATTCGTGTTTTGGTGCATATAGCAGACTTGTTTTGATGCTCTTTACCTCAAATGTTATTCTTGTTTATAGATAACTGACCAACCAAAGATACATTAAAAATAATAAAATAATATTAATAATAACTAATTAAAAATAAAAACTATAGCAAACGAAATTCAAATGGTATTTTAGTTTGTGCCTCTCTACTACTCATCTACACGGGTGGATGATTTAATTCACTCTGAGGAAAATAAGGATTTAATGAATGCTTCACTGGTATTGTTGTATCACAAACCTCAGTTTTATATTTGCTAATGTTTTAATATGTCATTATTTTAAAGAATGTTTGGAGCATCTGATTTTTTTCTCAGTGCTGATCTGCTTTCATTTTCTCCTCACTCGCGGCAAGTTCAGGTGGAGTGTTTAATAAGTAACCCATGGCTGGAAAATATACATTTAGATTTCAAAGAAAATATCATAATATTAAAAAAGAATCATATGTTTGATCCTATCCATGTTGTAAGTAATGCCCTTAAATAATGTAGTTATTAGTTGTCAGCAAGCATGAGTATTTATTGAGCTTGAAATAAGATTTTAAAATTTGAAATTAAGATAAGAAACATTGTTATAGCAACACTTGTGACTGCTTTGGTAATAAAGCTCGTTGTAGACGTAATGGGATAACTGATCGTTAAAGAACGTGCAGTCTGGCACTTTTGTTACACACGACAAGTTAAGATTTTTATCAAGACAAAATCGTATAATCTGACATAGCGACTTTCGTAACTGACAATAAAAATCGTGTGATCTGACCGGGGCTTAGCACTAGATATTGGTTCATATGTACTTAGGTGGAAAATTATTATTTCACAATGTCAAAATTACTTCTGGAGCCCAGCTGATGCTCTCTGTATTACTTCACATCTACAACAGTACATCTGTCCTCCTTATGTTTACCTTCATTATGCATCCAACAAAATGCGACGACACCCGAACTTTCCCAGAAACCAGATTCTTCCTGAACTTGGAGAAACAGCCATCAGCGACTATAGTCAGAGGAGCGCGAACCTCCTGTGAGAGAAGAAAACTCTAGTTACCCCAATCTCTCTTGCTCCCTTACATAAACATGAGCAGAGTCTCACAGTATCAATGTGTCGTTACCTTGAGCATCCCGGTGTCTTTCTCCCTGTACTGAATTCCTGTCACACAACCTTCCTCCTCCTCCAGGCTGGTCACTGTTCCCTCCACAAACTTCACACTGTTAATCACAAAAATAGTGCCATATTAAAGAAGTCATGAGCTGAGACTAAAAAATGTAAATATCCTAAACTTTTTGCCCATCAATCCATTAGTCTCAAACTACTAGATGAAGAAAGGTCATTATTTGGGGTCTCAGCAAACCCCAACTCATATGGAACATACAGTAAGTAACGATAGTTCACCCTCTAATACAGGGGTCACCAATCTCGGTCCTGGAGGCCCGGTGTCCCTGCAGGGTTTAGCTCCAACTTGCCTCAATACGTCTGCCTGGATGTTTTAAGTATACCTAGTAAGATCTTGATTAGCTTGTTCAGGTGTGTTTGACTAAGGTTGGAGCTAAAATCTGCATGACACAGGACCTCCAGGAACAAGTTTGGTGACCAATGATATGATAATATGCAAATTACAGGTTGTATAAGATATTTACTTAGGCTCAGCGAGGGCAGCTCGACGCAACCCCATGATGAAGCGCCCATGATGGAAAGCACGTCCACCCTGAATGCAGTTCTCCTGCTGGGGATATGGGATCTCCACCTCTGTCCTACTTTCCATGTCATGGATTACATAACCGTTCACCACATGAGCATCCAGACCCTCAACAGTACCTGAGAGAAAAGAAAACAAAGTCTAAACATGTTAAAATGAGAATTTAAATATCATAGATTGACAATAAAACACACTATCAGTATATACATATAAGTGAGCGCAAATATCTTTAACTGGTGTCTGAAATGTTTAAGAATTCAATTGAATGGAAAAAGTGTTGTTCTTACCCTCCAGGCCAAGGTCTTTGAGTACCCGAAATCCTCCCGGCTGCAGAAGTTCTCCAACTATTCGGTCTGGTTCTTTCATGTCCCTCTCCACCACGGTGACCCGCCGTCCATCCCGGGCCAGAACAGCAGCCATGGCCGATCCTAGCACCCCAGCTCCCACTATGATGACCTCCGGATCCTCAGTTGGACTGCACTGACTGTCCGTCGCCCTCTTTCGCTTTACATCTCTCTGGTTAGAAAGAGGGTCAGACTGAAGGTTAGAGCTGCATTTCAAGCATTATAATAATATGTTGCAGCCTTATTCCAAAATGGATTAAATGGATTTATTTCCTTTAAATTCTACACACAATACTCCATAATCGCAATCTGAAAAAAAGAGTTTTTGAAATTGTTGAGTGTAAAAATAAAAAAACCTGAATAGTCACATGTACAGAAGTATTCACAGCCTTTGGCGTGAAGCTCTAAATTGAGCTCAGGTACATTCTTTTGCCACTGATCATTCTTGAGATGCTTCAGCAGCCTAATTGTAGTTCACCTGTGGTAAATTCAGTTGATTAGACATGATTTGAAAATGCATAAACCTGTCTATATAAGGTCCCAGGGTTGACAGTGCATGTCAAAGCACAAACTAAGCATGAAGACAAAGGAATTATCTGTAGACCTCTGACACAGGATTGTCTCGAGGCACAAGGCTGGGGAAGGTTACAGAAAAAATTCTGCTGCTCTGAAAATATCAATGAGCACAGTGGCCTCCATCATCTGTAAGTGGAAGATGTTTGGAACCACCAGGGCTCTTCCTAGTGCTGGCCGGCCATCTGAGTGATCGGGGTGAAGGGTCTTAGTCAGGGAGGTGATCGATAACCCGATGGTCACTCTGTCTGAGCTCCAGCGTTCTTCTGTGGAGAGAGAACTTTACAGAAGGACAACCATCTGTGCGGCAATCCACCAATCAGGCCTGTATGGTAGAGTGGCCAGACAGAAGCCACTCCCCGTCTGGAATTTGCCAAAAGGCATCTGAAGAACTCTCAGACCATTAAAAACTAAATTCTCTGGTCTAATGAGACTAAAATGGAACTCTTTGGAGTGAATGCCAGGCGTTATGTTTAGAGAAAACCAGGCACCGCTCATCACCAGGGTAATGCTATCTCTAAAGTGAAGCATGATGGTGGCAGCATCATGCTGTGAGGATGTTTTTCAGCAGCAGGAACTGGACGACTAGTCAGGATAGAGGGAAAGATGAATGCAGCAATGTACAGAGACATCCTGAATGAAAACCTGCTTCAGAGTGCTCTTGACCTCAGACTGGGGCAACGGTACATCTTCCAGCAGGACAATGACCCAAAGCACACTGCCAAAATGTCAATGGAGTGGTTTTACAACAATGTCCTTAAGTGGCCCAGCCAGAACCCAGATCTCTAAATCCTATTGAACATCTCTGGACAGATCTGAAAATGGCTGTACACCATCGCTTCCCATCCAACCTGATGCAGCTTGAGAGGTACTGCAAAGAGGAATGGGCAAAAAAATTCCCAAAGACAGGTGTGCCAAGCTTGTGGCATCATATTCAAAAAGACTGAGGCTGTAATTGATGCCAAAGGTGCATATATAGGCTATATATACCAATCAATCATTTAAAATGGGGGGCATAATTTATTTCTGTGATGTCATATGTTAAAGCTATGAAAACATGTACTTTTATGCTTTAATTCCACATGACCACTTGCACATTTATCAAAAGTAACAGTAAATTTATTTTACATCTCAGTAATGTTGTTAGAACATTTTTTTTATCGAAGAGTCCTGACTCCTGTCTATTAAATGCACTATGGTTCCCACAAGGATATGGAGCAGAATACACTTTTTATAGCCTGAAAAATAAATATTTAATGTAAATTCAGCAATTTGTGTAATTTAATAGCAGCTTGAGACAGATTTAAAGAAGATGAATTGATATTTATAAGAACTCGGACACAAATACATGAGATCTCCCACCTTAGAAGAGCCACTACAACATTTAAAGAATTATACAAGAACACTTTCAAAAAGAGCAAATGTGACTACATTTATTTGACTTTTAATTAATGCTGTCATTTGGAACTTAATTTGGATCAAAGAGTGCTGTGTATTAAATGCATCATCATTCCCACAAAAATATGAATCAAAATGAACTTTTTAAAACTTAAAAAATATATATTTAATGGAAATTCAGCAATTCGTAGAATTTAGTGCCAGCTTGAAACAGACCTATATGAAATGTTTAATAACACTAATTATAAGAACAGGAGATCTCTCACCTTCTTAGAAGAGCGACTACAACTATCAGTGCTGGACGCGGAGAAGAGTTTTTTGGTGGGGGAAAATGTCATCAAGAGTTGAAAAGGCATTTGTAAAAACTGCGGCGCTTTGAGAGTCTGTCCGCGGAGGGAGAAACAGGTGATGATGAGCCCCACAGACACGCACAGCACCGCGGCCACCAGCAGCTCTGTAGTCGCGGAGCTCAGCAGCGCGTCGCATTTCTTATAGATATATGTAAAACTCGCTATGCCAAGAAAGGTCCACATGTCGACACTCGCTTCAATTATAAACAGACACAAAATATCGCTTAATGGCGTTTAAAAATATCACAAAAGAGCAGCACAGGTGATCTGAAAATTAACTGAATTATTCCAGACAGACACAAAAAGTGGAAAAAAAACATATAGTATCCGTTTTCCGATTAATCTCGGGCTCGACTTCAGTTAAATTCCTTTTATAATAAATAATAATAAATAAAAAGTAAGTTTAATCCCCAGCACATGGGCGCACTCGAGCTGGTGAGATGCTTCTAGGTGATGCTGAATAATTTATGCTAATGAGGGCGCGGATCGTCTTGCAGTTTGTAGACAGAAGCGTCCCGCCTCCTCTGTTTATGACGAGCCAATCAGCTGCGAACATTCGGTGAGCAGAGCTCACGCTATCTGGCCATTGGCCAATCTAAGGCTGCTGGTTGGCGAATGGACTGCAGTATGATGTGATGTCATGGAGAGGCTGCGTTTGGCAGATGTTACGAGAAGAAAGCGTCACACACTTTTGAACAACATGAGCGCCGTGTTAAACATAGTGCAGGTAAAGGGCTAAAAGTGCCAAGAAACATTGTAATTGTAAATTATAAAGCTGCTCTTTTGGGATATTTTTAAACGCCAGTAAGCTATATTTTGTGTGTTTTTATATCTGAAGCGAGTGTCGACATGTGGACCTTTCTTGGCATTGCGAGTTTTACATAACTAGTTTTATATAAGAAATGCGTCGCCCTACTGAGCTAATTTGCTGAGAATACTTAATTATTAACTTCTTAAACATCCTGGATGCAAAACATATAGCTATTATATCATATCTAGTGTTATTTTTATTCATAGTTAGCTTTCCTGTTTAACATGACATATTTTAGTTTGATCCAAAATAACCTTTAATGGGTGATTTCTGACGGAATCATCTATCATTTTGGCATAAAAAAGTGAACTTAACATATAATTCTGCACAAGAACACACACTGGTGTCAACAAGGACGAATAACTAAATTTAGCTCTTGGTGACTAATGAAAACAGATTACAGTAGATTATTTAAATTAAGAACATGTGGCACGATGATGTATATTAAAAGAAATAATAAAACATTCACATCACAGCATTAAAAACTGGTTTCTTTTGTTCGTTGTTAGTAGTTGTATGTTTATGCATGTCTGACATTTACCAAAGTCGTGCTTGTGGGGTTTTGCACGTCTTTTATTGTTTTATTACCTTTAATTCTTCATTATGATCATTTAAATCCCCATGAAAAATTAATCAAATGAAAATGTCCTGTAAATTATGTTACAGAGCTAAAACTGCTTAATACTATAAGATACACAAATAAAAGGTGAATAAATTAGTATAAATATTTAAAGGTAAAAAAAACATTAATGTTCCATTTGTGGCGACACTACATACATACTATTCTGTTGAGTGTGTTAGTGCATTGTGTATAGTGTATATTGTGCCATTTGGGACGGAGATATAGTGCAGGTAAAGTGCTAAAAGTGCCAATATAAGTTGTAAATTGTAAACCTCTATCTTTTGTGTTTTTATAAACACCAGTAAGTAATATATTGTGTTTTTTTTAAACGAGTGTCGACATGTGGACTTTTCTTGGCATTGCAAGTTTTACATATATCTATCAGAAATGTGACGCCCTGCGTGCTGAGCTAAATTGTAGAGAATACATAATTTAGTGACTTTTGACATCTTTAATGCAAATCATATCGATGTTAAATCATATCTAGTGTTATTTTTGCTTATAGCTTTCCTGTTTAACATGACATGTTTTAGTTTGATCCAAAATAACATTTATTGGTGATTTCTGGTGGAATCATCTGTAGTACCATTATCATCATGAAATAAAAAATGCACTTAACAAATAAATCCGCTCAAGATCACTGACTAATAAAAGCAAATTACAGTAGATTATGCAAATTAAGAACAAGTGGCACGATGATGTAATGACAAATAAAAAATCTTGATCTCACAGCATGAAAAACTGGTTTGTCTTGTCAAGTATTATTATTTGTATGTTTATGTATGTCATAAATTTACCAAAGTCATGCTTGCAGGTTTTTGCATGTCATTTTATTATATCTTTAGTTCTTATTTAAAGATAAAGCACATCATAGTACAGAGAGTGCCCTTATAAAGATAATAAATGATATTCCCCTAAATACAGATTTAGACAAACTAACAGTGCTGGTACTGCTCGACCTCAGTGCTGCATTTGACACTGTTGAGCACAGCATACTTCTGCATAGGCTGGAAAACTGCGTTGGGTCATCTGAGACGAATGGTTTAGATCTTACCATGAACTTACCATAAAAGGTTTCTATGTCAGTATAGGTGACCATAGGGCGCAGTGGACACACGACATGTGGAGTCCCACAAGGTTCAATTCTGGCACCTCTCCTGTTCAACCTCTATGCTCCCACTGAGCCAAATAATAAGAAACAATCTCCTACCACAGCTATGTAGATGACACTCAGATCAGCCTTACTGCCTAATGACTGCAGCCCCATTGACACCATTTGCCAGTGCATTGATGAAATTAACAGTTGGATGTGCCAAGGCTTTCTTCAGTTAAACAAAGAGAAAACTGAAGTCATTACTTTCTGACCAGAACCAGAAGCACATCACACCTGTCCTCAGGTCTTTACACTGGCTCACAGTTACATTCAGAATAGACTTTAAAGTATTAATACTTGTCTATAAATCACTAAATGGCCTAGAACCTCAATATATTCCAGATATGCTCACTGAATACAAACCTAACAGATCACTCAGATCATTACGATAAAGTAAACTTAAAATTCCAAGAGTTCAGTCAAAGCTGGGTAAATCGGCCTTCAGCTATTGCACCCCTCCCCCCTCCCCCGCTGGAATCAGCTTCCAAAATTGATCAGATGTGCTATCATGTTTTTCTTTTCTTTTTTGATTCTTTTATCATCTGTTTTAACACATTTTAAACTGTTTTTAATCACTTTTGTTATTTGTTTTTATTTTCTTATACTTGGCTCTTTTCTTTCTATTTATGTAAAGCACTTTACACTTTGAATTGCCACTGTGTGCTGTATAAATAAACATGCCTTGCCTTAGAAATAATAATTTTAATTAAAATAAGTATATATATATATATATATATATAAATTAAATATATATCTGTAATTTTTATTCACAATAGATTTTCCCCCAAAATGATTTCCCCTCTAAAATCTCAAGTAAATAACGTTACAGTGCTAAATGGAAATATAAATAAGTAAATAAAATAAGGTAAATAAAATACATATAAATAAAATGGGTTTCATTTTTAGATTATGTGATGACAAAATTTATATGCACTTTTTTAATTGTCTTATTAAATTGAAATGTCTTGTTTTGTTGTGTTTTTAATTTTGGTAATTTAAACAAATAAAAATACTAAGGATCATTGAATGCAAAACCACTGTTAAAAATGAATGACATTTTGGGGGATGATAACAATAATAAAAATAACTATAATAATAATTAGAAGAATAATAACCTTTATTTAACCAGGTAAGTCAATTGAGAACCAGTTCTCATTTACAATGACGACCTGGTTAAGAGGCAACAAATAAAGCAGATATTAATCAACAGAGACGCAATACAATAACAATTTCACAAATGCAAATTAATAACATATAAAACCAAGAAAAACTAGCACAGTGATTTTGTACTATTAACTGGATTGAAGTTTTTAAAGGATGAAAGTGTTGAGCTTTAATATGATTCCAAGCAGCATCAGCAGCAGAAAACTGAAAAGAGTAGCGACCAAATGAAGTGCAAATTTTGGGTATGCAAAGGCTAATAAAACGACTAGAGCGCAGATTTCGACATGCTTTCTGAATGTTATCAAGTGACTGTAAGTATAGTGGAGTCTTCCCAATTAGAGTTTTGTAAATGAACCATAAAATTTGTCGACGTGATTGAAGAGGTCAATTCAGTAAACAATACAGTTGACGTTGATGAGTGTTAAATGGCGTAGCAGTATATAAAATAAAATAGCCGGCAGCTAGCTCTGTGCAACTCTCACATGATTGCCCATTGAAGCTAAGCAGGGCTACGCCCGTTCAGTACATGGGAGACCACATGGGAAAGCTAGGTGGCTGCCGGAAGTAGTGTTAGTGAGACCAGCAGAGGGTGCCCAACCTATAGTCTGCGTGGGTCCTAATGCCCCAGTATAGTGACAGGGACTCTATACAGCTCAGTCTTTTGGATGAGACGTTAAACCGAGGTCCCGTCTCTCTGTGGTCATTAAAAATCCCAGAGTAGGGGTCTCATCCCGGCATCCTGGTCAAAATTGGCCACTGGCCTATGTCCATCATGGCCTTCTAACCATCCCGATATCATAATTGGCTTCATCACTCGGTCTCCTCTCCACCTATCAGCTGATGTGCGGTCTGGCGCAAAATGGCTGCCGTCTTGTCATCCAGGTGGATGCTGCACACTGGTGGTGGATGAGGAAATGCCCCCTATGTGTAAAGCGCTTCGAGTGCCCAGATCAGTGGCGTAGCGGACGGGCCCGCAGGGCACGCACCGCGGGGGGGCCCCGCGTGATTAGGGGGCCCCACGTCGTCGCGATTTTCAATAATGGAAAATCCAGGAACCGCAATAATCAAACTCTTGGGAACAACTGTGGACAGAACCAAAGTTCACAGGTCTGTGTTCTCTGAACACCTCTCAAGCGGTGGACTACTTCATTCTGATTGCTTGCCGCCGAACCGCGTCATAGCCAATGAAGACGCGCCGCTGGCGCCGCTTGTTAAAAAATGAATGACTTCTGGCTACTTTGACGCTTTCGCCGCTTTCGGTTTGTGATCGCTCCTCAGTTTGTGAAGGATTCCCCACGTTGTCGCTCCACTCCGCCTCCTTTTCCCGCACCTCAATTTGTGACATAGATATATACAATAGATATTGTATAGGGATCCTGAGCATGGGTCAATAGCGCCGCCACATTGGTACAGTGCTCCCAGGACAAATGTCATTTAACCGCACTAGTCAAGTGTTTTTACGTGAAGATGCGGGACTGTAGCGCTGTCTACGAGTGTAGTAACAAGCAAACAAAGAAAACAAAGCACAAAGGCAGAACATTCCATAGGTAATATTAAGTTTTTTTTCTGTTTTTGTATGTTCTGAAATTTGTGCTAAACAGGTAGCGTTATTTATGATAACAGCCAATTACTGCATTCACCATAAGTCAAAGTAGCTCCAATTCGCACTAAATACTCGGCTTATGCTAGCTTTGTTGAATAAAATCAGCAAACAATGCAAAA